TTCAGCAGGGAAAATGTGCTGCTTTGGAGTCAGTACTGAGTCCATGCTTCCAGCCAAACATTGAGGAGGAGGATGATGCTGCCTCTTGGATAAGCTGTGAAGCAGCAGGACTGATGGTTTTAGGGTACTTACTTGGTAATGGCCAGAATGGCAAGAAAAGCCAGAGGAAAATTTGTGCTTCTGCCCAAAGAAGAAAAAAGGCGGCAATCCAAACAATGCAACAGCTTACTAGCAACTTATCTTAAGGTTTCACTAAAAAAGTTAGTGGAAAAATCAGATTCATCTAAAGAATAGATAACTGGGTAAAGATGATATTGCAGAAAAGATGCTAACATTTTCTTCACAGCTTGAGAGTCTGCACAGCAGCAAGGCTCACTGAAGCTCAAGGACTAATATCAGTGGGAACAACCTATCTGTGGGAATGAAGGAATGAAAAGGTGCTGAGCATTAAGCACAAGACAAGGCAAGGGAATGAAAAACTTTGAAAGGGTAACAGGCATGTAGCTTTACCATCTGGTTGTCCTGAGAAGCTCTCTAGTAGATAACTGGACTGAATCAGTGTGAGAGAAGGGATATTTTAGCATGGTTCCTAATGTTCTATTCTTGAGCAAGAAAGGAAACGATCAAGCACTACGGTCAGCTGAGTGATCCAAGAAACCTTTAGAACAATATGAAAACATGGTGAAAAGAAGATCTCTTATCAGTCTGTTTAACGTACTGTCTTTGTTGAATAGAGCGTGGTACAGCCAGGGGTACTTTGCTCAGTATCCCAGAGAGCTTCTATCAGAATGACTGTGATTACATGGATCTGGATGATAGAACGGGATGTTTCCTTAGCACCTCTCATCCCCCCAGACTGTAAAGTAGTTAAAAGACAATGTGCCAGACCCTGTCGTTTATACCAGACAAGCACTAGTGAGACCACAGTAGTGCAGGTGAGATCATGTTTTGGCCCCACAACTCAAGAAGTTGCTTACCATTGAGAAGTGGCCACCTCTGGCAAAAAACATGGCAACTGTTCTGTAGTGGTTACATGGCTGAAGTGTACAGTCATCTGTGGGCTGGGGCCAGCTGGGAGGAAGAATCCAGTGGGGTCCCACAGGACACTCTCCTGGCTCTAGCATTATAGTGTAATGACTTGGGAGGATGGAGTGGAGGGAGAAAGCATCAGACAGTTCAAAGCTGGGAGGGAATTGCGGATACTTGAGAGGATTGGCATCCATCCAGTGCTATCTAGAGATGTTGGTTGAAATAAGCAGCACTGATGTTCGTTCTTCTGGTTTCTTTAATGGAACTCAAGACAACATGACCCCAGGCTGGTTACACCCAGTCTTGTTAAAAGCAACAATTGTGACACTATGCACCATACCAAATTAGAGATGAAAGGAGACAACTACTTGCACTCCTTCAACCCTTAGGCATCAGTCACAGAGCAAGGCTACTAAAAAATAAATTTTAAAAAAGTCTTTAAAAGTCAGGGCAGGTGAGACTCTTTAGAAACAGGCCATGATCAGGAAGTGCCAGGGAGTATTACTCATCTCAAGGAAATACCCTCTGATGAGCATAGTCCAAACACCTAGAGACCTGTCGGCTTTGCAGTCCATTCCTGTCCTCAGCCAACTTAAAAGTACTCCTGACTTTGTCACCACATGTACTTTATTTCTGCAGGTGCTGGGCTTATACAATACGCTGAACCCTGAGGCATCCGCTTCGCCCTGCTGTGTCCCCCAGGACCTGGAGCCACTCACTATCTTGTACTATGTTGGGAGGACCCCAAAAGTGGAGCAGCTCTCCAACATGGTGGTGAAATCCTGCAAGTGCAGCTGAAAGGCACCCTGGCCCGCCCAAAGCCAAGAGAGAAACTGTCAGCACCCACTCTCCTGCTCCCAGGCTAACACAAAAGGAACTGGGGGTCAGAGACTACGCATGCTGAGGGCCGAGTGCCAGACCCTGTGGCTTGGTGTCTGGCAGCCCTTGGCGATCTCTTCTGGAACATTTCTTGGTGGTGTTGTCAGTGTCATGTTCCTTCTGGGAGTTAGTTTGGCAACACGAAGGCCAGACTCTCCAAAATGGCTGGACAGTTGGTGCGGAAGAGAAGGACAGGGTGGAGGAACTGCTGTGTATTTGAGTGCTGGGTGGTTAAGCTGGGAAAGAGAGGGAATGAGAAAGAGCAGGTGAAAGGGGGAATGGAAATGGGGCAACATTTTCTATTCTAGCTTTAGCTATCTTAGGACCTCAGCCCTCCCCACCGGCCTGGAGAATTAAAGGTTTCCCCTGTAGGAGGAAACCCTGAAATTTTCTTGAGAGAAAGAAAATGCACCAAGAAGAAAAGCTGCTGAGAAAAGAAATGCTGAGATACACTTAACACTTTTGTTCCTCAGAGCTGTGATCCAGGAGTCCTGCAACTGAAACTCTGCGTCTGCCAAACCTGTAAGTTCAGCTGGCAGATCCTGGCTATTGGTTTCTAAATGCAAACTGCAAGGCTCCCAGCCAGCCTGCTGAGGGTGGGCAAATACAAGGAAAGAGGGTGCTGAGTCCATTTTCAGACAGACTGATGTCTCCATTCAGCTCTTTTCCCTTCCTGGAGTTTGAGAGATGGTTTCTGGGTCAGGGCAGGAGCAATATCTGTGGGTACCTGAATATTGGGCCCATTCATTTGTGAGCTGATACACCCTGAGGACCTCTTGTCTGTTGTGGTTTGTGAGGTGCTTTGGGGTGTTCTGCACCTGATCTGCACGATGAACTGAACATGGCCCAGACCTCACCTGCCAAGACTTAAAAAAATAGTAATCTCAAAAACATTGTAAAAAATAAATATTTGGGGGGCAGATGCTCTTTTTTTCACAAGCAAGTTGTTTGTTGGAGGGTTAGATGGTTTGCCGGTTTTAAACTGCTACTGCTGTGGCATACTCAGTCACTCTAAAATCCTTCCGTTTTCCACAATGTCTCTTCAAAGGAACAGGCAGAACTCTGGGTCAACCAGAGAGCCCCAGAATGAAAATTCCTTGGTACCCTCAAACTGTGCCTGGTGTATATGTGCCCTGTCCTATTCTAGCACTTCAGACATGTACATCACCTCCGGCATCTGCTTTTGATAGATTCATATAAAGCTCCCCTCAAATATAAGACACTTCCAACAATACTGTTTAAATAACCAGGGCAGTGCAGTTGCCACAGCTGACAAATGTCCTGTGTCCATTTCAATATATATGGACTGCCATTAGAAACTTGTACACACATGTAAATAACACACCCCTCCTCCCAATTTACCGTGAACATTGCAGATGCTCATAAAAAGCTCACAGTTTTAAAAGGGGGGGCTTTTTCAGCCAGAGATACTCCCAAAGGTAAAAATCTCCAGTGCTTGCATCCCACAGGAGACTTGGACGCTGCCTCTCTGACTCTCCAAACCACAACTACTTAAAGTCATGTTCTAGAGACCACAGAGGTTCTTCCCTGTCCCCTCCCAATTCCTGGACCCCAGCAACTGAGGGTAAAATGACACCTATCTGGTTAATAGCTTGTGGCCAGGGCTCTCCATGGTCAGCTCGGAATTCAGCTCTTCCATCAAGCCCTTCACAATAGCAGCTGCTTCCATATACCTCACACGAGGCTGCCGTAACATGTAATCTCAAACATCTTAATAAACTGTAAACAACCCTTCCTGCACCATCACCAGCTGGCTAGAGGTTAGCAAGGGTGGGTCAGTCGCGGGAGCCTGCCAACCTGTGTGACATTTTGGTAGGGGCACACATGCTCTGATGGAGGCACTCCCCAACGCTTAGCTTCATCCCTTTCATCTCTCTGTGGCTCCTTGACCTGTCATCGCTGTGATGATGAAAGGTGCAGCTCTGAACAGTCCTGCAGCACTACTGTGTTACTGTATGCCCTGTACAGCTCTCCATACCCATGCTTCCCCCCTGCCTGCCCAAGGAGGGAGCAAATAAAGGCGTTACGACTACGCTACCATGCTGACAGGCTAGAAATTTAGCAGCTGCCATGAGGGGCAGGGGGGAAAATCCAGATGCCAACTGGCATAGGAATTCTCTCTAATCTTTTAACAGCAGGCCCTGGGGAGGTTTTGGTTTACAAGCTGCAGTCTGTTCTTTGGTCATTGTTCCTCCTGAGCCCTGGGCTGGCTCTGCTGCCCATCCAATTGAAGGGCTCCCTCGCTAGTAAAGGGGAGGAAAAAAAAAACCAAACCAACAAAAAAACAACCCAAGGAGGGGGAGCTGCAAAGAGCTGAACTAGAACGCTTGCACAGCTCATAGTCCTACGTGGCACTTGGAGCATGTCAGAACCACCCACAGATTAACTCTGGCAAGCCCCTTGAGGTGGGTCTGTCTTACTAGCCCTTGTTCACTGCTGCTGCTCAATGGCAGGGAGGGGTGGCAGAAAGATCAAGCCATTTCTCTCCCTGGAAAGGAGGCAAAATGGCAATGAAAAATTAGGGGAGAAGAGTCTTGGGGTGTCCAATCAGTAAGGACACAGGTAACCTCATGGGTACAACAATCCTTGAAGTCAAACAGACACATTTCAGTTACTGCTTCTCTGTCCAGCCTTCTGTTTCCCTAGCAACATTTGAAAATGAGAGTTGTGAGACAGGTTCTGAATACATTTTCTTACAATTAAAATAGGTTTTCTAGGGGTGTTTTAGCTATATTTCATCAACAAACTATACTATCTACATGGAGTTAATAACAGATTGAACTCACTCCTGGGTGCAGGCTTACCAAAACGTTTCAAAACACGTGAGAAGGCAGAGGGCAGTTCTCTACATGCTCTGTTACTAGCTGGCAAATTGAGAAAGACAATGGGAAAGAAGAAGTGGGATCTTCACTGCCAACACTGAATACAGCTCCCAACAGTTCCCTTTTGTTGTTCACAGGAACAAACAAAAGCTGATTAAAACAATCCCAGCACACTTTCTGTCTCTCTAACAAAGATCAATGGTTAGAAAGAGTGAAAAAACCCTATTCTGCACTGCCATAAGGCAGATCCTACACAAATGAGCAAATGACCATCTGTGTAGTCCCTGCTTCTCTGTGGCATACTTATTATAGCAAGCAAGATACCTAGATGTGAACTTGAACACCTTGTTTTTCAGGCTGTAGTGCACTGGAGAGCTCTGCAAGGACCACTGCTTCAGTAAGTATAGGAATAGTACACTAATATTTCAGCAAAGAATAGTCTTTGCAAACTAAATGAATCTTTGTTCCCTGGTCTTTGGGTTGGACAATCTCTAGCTATCTCACTGCACTTACAAAAAGCAGTAGCACATCCACGTTACCACTGTGTGAACTGGGATATGCTGCTTTGTGTTTCACCTTTCCATAACCAATAGACATCAATACACACAGTAAACAATATGGACCACGTCCAAAAGTAATAAAAGCTACAAAAGACAAACATACCTGTCCACTGCTCTGGCAAGATCATAGCTCTGTTCTGCTCTGTCCTATGATGTAGCACGTCTCTGTTGTAGCTACCAAATTTCCATTCTCTCAGTTCACAGATCTTTATCTTTCTATGCTGCTCTGAAGTTTTCCTTACCTATGGCTAGTGTCCTCACCAGAGCAGAAATACAGGAGGTCTCCAGGCTCAGACCAGTTTGTAAATGAAAGCGCTACAGCCATCCCATGACATTAGAGGATCCATTGCAATGTCTTCTGTCCGGGGTCCAAGGCAGGGCAGGTTCAGTACTACAGGGTGAGCAAGATGCAGCTCTAAGGGTCAGCTCCATTGTGCAGAAAAGGTTTCTTACCCACTAGAAGTGTTTCTAGTGGCATGCAAAACATCAACTCTATAGTACTGGGTTGTCTTCTCTTAATAGGCGATTGAAAGGCAATTAAATCAATCAAGAAAATACAGTTTTCAATACATGTGGAGCCAACAGTGTCACATCTACACACTTGCAAAACTATACTGATTCGTGGTAGTAAAAAATAATAGATGGTTGTATGGGCTGCCTATACCTACATTAATTGTGGTTTAGAGTAATGGCACCAATTTGGATACAGTGCAAGGAGGAAAAAATGCCTTCTAATTCTTTAAAAATAACATCTATTAATTTTTTTTTACATTCAAAATCACCAGAATATATTGGTCAAAAGCTGTATAAAATTAATAACTAACATACACACTATGATGTTTAGTAAATGAACACCTGGACTTTCAGGCCTCTGCTTTACAAATACTTTCTTTTGTATACAGGGAAGTCATTTAAGCCCTGGTTCATTTTTGATGCAGCTCCAGAAGAGACAGATGGAAGAAACTAAGCTCAGTGTCTTTTGTCCTCTCTTGAAGAGAGGCTTCAGATGCCCTGTACAAATGCAAGATCCTTTATCACGCAACAAGTCAACATAAAAGAGATGAGACAGTTTTATTCATTGGGAAACAGATTGCCTTAGAAATTAATTCAGATACATTAACAAGAAATACAGCAAACGAAAATTGCTGATTAATGGTTACCATTCTCTTACTTCTCTAAATGACAGTAATGCGTGCGAGATGCCACTTATGCCCATAATTTCAGAAAGAATATGGTACAGTACTTCAGACGTCACAGTGCGTTTCCACGAAAGACTAATTTCATAGATTAGAGACCTCAGTTACTCAGCTGCTTTTAGAACATCCTTATCTAGGGCTCGGTTGCATAGGGAAGATGGCAGAGATGGTCTGAAGGCATTCAACCAAACAGCTGGGCCTTTTCCAGTACTGGGCTATGACTTAATGGAAAATACACTTAGGGATAAAGACCTTTATACCAAGTACAGAATAGAGGTTTCTTTACAGCTGTGGTTTGTGGCAAAAAAACCCCACACATTATCGGCTTTCCACATCCTGCAGACTTAGTGAACAGCTTTCAGGCAGAAACTCTATCCCCTGTGGTATACACTGGCACTGTTGAATTATACCAAGGAATACTAATCTTTCAAGCGGTATCTTTTGAAGACAAAGATTTCTCCTCCTTTCAGGGGTGTAGTGGTCTTTGTGCAGGGTGGTATCCTTTGTCTCTCATTCCACTTAGTTGGCTAGGCAAGATGATACCTCATTGCTGTCCACAGAGACCAATGCAAGAAATAATTATATGTAGGGGTTATGCATGTTGTAGAAGGCAAAGGTGACTTCCCTTTCTGGTCTGCCAACACTCAGACATTTCTCACTAGCTGTTTACAGATTCTCATTCATCACATACAGAAATCATCATGAGGCATTATAACAATGTGTCATGGCCAGTACATGTACCTCACTTGATGAAAGAAGCCAGCTGGGTCATATCAAATCAGAGATTTCCTGACATTCTTCAGGAAGGATTTCTTTCTTCTCCTGAAGTTATTATCCTCTTCAGGAAGCAGACAAAGCAAAGATTTGCTGGGCAGCCAG